TAGGAGGAGATAAGAAAGAAAGATTAGTATTATGGAGAATTCAGCAGAGTATTATCTGAATTCCTTGGAGCAGGTTGCTCGGCCAGGTCTGCTGTCTTATTGAGAGTGATCCGAAGGGGGTGTTTCTGGTCAGAGGTCAGACTGGATGTCACTCGGCTGGTGGGTTGCCTTCACCTGGGAGTGGTGGATCCAGGTGTTTAGTCCTGCAATCTTGAGAGCTGTGGGGATGGTTAATATGACTGGAAAGGGTCCCTTCCTTTACCCAAACCTGGTCTCCTGGTTTATAAGGATGCATAGCTGTTTCTAGAGAGATGGATAGTCAGTAACCCACTCAAAGACAGTTTTTCCAAATCCTTGTAGTTGTTTCTGGATTTCTAAGTTCCCTATTTCCCCCAAATCTCCCTTTGGCCGAATTAAGGGAGGCAGTATATATACCTTATGGAATTTCAAAGGGAGAGAAACCCACCCTGGCCCTCGGGGCACAGCATACCCCCAGGAGTACAAGAGGCAAGATATCTGTCCAGGGTAAGGTTGTCTCTTGGCACAGCTTAGCCATAACCTGCTTTAGAGAGTGGTTCATGCACTCCATTTCCCCTGAACTCTGAGGCCTGTAGGCTGTATGTAGATTTCATTTAATTCTTAAAGCCTTGGCTACTTGTACTCTTTCTGCTACAAAGGCTGGGCCATTATTAGATCCTATGGTCAGAGGCATTCCATACCGTCGAATTATATCCTTCAGCAATGCCTTATTGACTTCTCTCGCCTTTTCAGTGCGAGTGGGATATACCTCTATCCAACCTGAAAAGATACAAACAAAGACTAGCAGGTATTTATTCCCTCTGGTGGCCCTATTTCTGTAAAATCTATTTCTAAGTTCTCAAAAGGAGCTTGCCCATCGCTGAACTCCTTCCTATTGGTCCCACAGGATCCTGTTTAGCATTGTTCTGAGCACAGAGGAGGCAACGCTGAGAGACTAAGTTACACAAGGAGGGTAGATGGGCAATTAGGTAGTACCTGCCTAACAAAGTTTCTAGGGCAGCCTTTTCTAAATGAGTGAGTTCATGCTGCTGGAGGACTACCTTACGGGCTAACTGTTCTGGAACATGGGCCCTATGATCTGGGAGCATCCACCAGCCTTCCTTCGTTCTCTTGCCCCCTTCTTTCTGGGCCCATTTCTCTTCCTGAGGAGTGTATTTTGGAGGTTCAGGAGGAGTGTATTTTGGAGGCCAACATGATTCGTGACGGTGTTGCTTGTTCTTTAGCAGCCAGCTTGGCTGTGGCATCAGCACGTTGGTTTCCTTCTGATACTGAGTCTTTCCATTTCTGGTGACCTTTGCAATGAATGCAATTCAGATGGCTATTTATTTCCTTAGGCTCCCAGACTGCTTCTAGTAACTTTAAAATCTCATTCTGATTGTTTATTCCTTTTCCTCCTGCTGTCAAGAGCCCCCTTTCCTTATATATGGCCCCATGGACATGCAGGGTTGCAAAGGCATAGCATGAGTCAGTGTAGATGTTGGTATGCTTATTCTTACTGAGTTCTAGGGCTCTTACTAGGGCCCAGAGTTCTGCCCTCTGCACTGTCCATCCTTCAGGTAGAGCCTGTGTTTCAGTTGTCTCAAAGTTTGATACCACTGCATATCCGGTTCGTCTTCTCCTTCATCTAAGAAGCTGCTGCCATCTCTGAACAATACCAAGTCCGGGTTTGGCAGGGGCCTATTCGTTAGATCTGGCCGGCTGGAATAAACCTCCTCTAGGACTGCCAGGCAATCATGCTCATGAGCCCCCTCAGTGATGGGTAGAAAGGTGGCAAGATTAAGTGTTCTCATTGCTTCTAATACCTTACCTGCGGATTCTCATATAACAGCACTTGATGCTGAGTCTTTCGAACACGAGTCAGCCAGTGTTTCCCCCTTGCTTCCATCAGGGTGACAACAGCATGAGGTACTTTTACATTTAAGTTTTTTCCTAAGGTAAGCTTATCCTCTTCCTTGACTAATAATGCCTTGGCTGCAAGGGCCCAGAGGACGGGGGCCACCCGGAGGCAACTGGGTCAATCCGCTTGGAGAGAGGCTAGTGGACTTTGCCAGGGTCCAAACTCCTGGGTTAGAACTCCTAGGGCTACCCCGCTGTTCTCAAGAACAAAAAGATTAAAGTCTGGTAGCCCTAGTGCCGGGGCCTCAGTGAGCTTTGCCTTTATGGTGATGAAGGCTTTCTCCTGTTTGGGACCCCAGTTGATGGGTGCCTTTTCTTCTTTTAAAGCTTCATAGAGAGGCTTGGCCAGGCCTGAAAACCCTAGGGTCCAAATTTGACAGAATCCTGCCGCTCCCAGGAATTCCCGAATCTGCTGCTGGGTGCTAGGGACTGGGATGGCACATGCTGCCCGCTTCCTTTCAGTCCCTAGCCTTCATTTCCCTTGGGTGATCTGGAAGCATAGATACTTGACTTCTTTCTGACAAATCAGTGTCTTTTTCTTAGACACCCAATAACCTGTTTCAGTTAGTAATCTCAGAAGGGCTCGTGTTCCCTCCCAGCACTGAGCTCATGTAGAGCTGGCCAGTAGGAGGTCGTCTACATACTGGAGTAGAACACACCCCCAAGACCTCAGATGCTAGTGCTCCACTAAAAAGAGTAGGGGAATTCTTAAACCCTTATGGCAGTCTAGTCCAGGTGAACTGCTCCTTGGCCTCTGTAATTGGGTTTTCCCATTCAAAAGCGAAGAGACTCTGACTGGAAGGTGCTAGTCGAAGATAGAAAAAGGCATCTTTCAGATCTAGGCATGTAAACTATTCTGCCTCTGATGGGATGAGTCCCAGAAGAATGTAGGGGTTTGGCAGTGCTGAATGCAGGGTTATAACAGCCTCATTAATAGCCCGTAGATCCTGCACTGGGCCGTAGTCATTAGTCCCAGGCTTTTTGACAGGCAAAAGAGGTGTGTTCCATGGAGACCTGCATCGTTTAACAAGTCCCCACTGAAGCAGCTGGTCTGAGTGGACCTGGATTCGTAGGCATGCTTCTCTCAGAATTGGATATTGGCAGATTTTGACAGGCTGTGCCCCAGGCTTTAACTCATTTAGCACTGCGCATGGTCCTTAGCCAGGCCTGGAGAATTTTATTCTGCCCAGACCAGTGGAAATTCCTTCTCTAATTCAGGTTCTAATGGTGAGGCCTTTGTCTGGGGGGTATAAAGTCTCCATTCTTCCTCCCTCGGCACTTCTAGGGACAGGATCATTGGGGAGGTCTCCTCACCTAGGTGAAGCTGTGCTGAGCCATCTGGGGCAAAAGTGATTTCTGCCTCCATTTTGGCTAAAAGGTATCTGCTTATTAGAGGCACTGGACAGTCTGGCAAGTACAGGAATTCATGAATTACTTGACCGCCAAGTTGGCATTGGTGAGGGCGGCAGAATGGCTGATGGGTCTGGTCCCCAGTAGCTTCAATAATGGTGACCCCCTTTCCTGAGAGAGGCACTACTTTCTGAGTGACTACTGAGTGCTTAGCTCTAGTATCAACCATAAAGTCCACAATATGGCCCCCTGTTTTCATTCTGTCCGTGGGTTCCTGGGGTCCTAGCTGAAGTGAGCCCCGTCTGTCCTAGTCGGAATCAGCCATTGCTAGCCCAATGAGATCTGCTTCTGGTGACTCTGATTGATAGCAACTGGGCGGAAAAAGGGGCCCAGTCTTTTTACTTTGTCGTTTGGGACATTCATTCTTCCAGTGCCCTGTCTCCTTACAATAGGCACACTGGTCTGTCTCGTCTCAGGCTCGCTCTTTCTTTTCCCCCAGGTCTGTATCCTTGCTGATCTGTCTGGAAGCCTGAGCCTCTAAAAGCTGCTGCTATTATCTTGGCCTTTCTTTGTATTCTCTTTTCTTCCTCCTTCCTTGCTGCACTGTCTCGCCGATCGATGAAAACCTTGTTAGTTATCTGGTAGCATTCTTTCCTTCAATCCCTTCCAGTTTCTATAATTTTCTCCTGATGTCAGGTTGAGCTTGGCCTACAAAGACGGCATTTACCATGGTTTAATTTTCTGGAGCCTCAGGTCTAAAGGGGGTGTATATCCGGTATGCCTCCCATAGTCTCTCACAGAAAGCTGCTGGACTTTCATCAGGCTTCTGGAAAACCTCAGAGATTTTAACCATGTTGGTGGGCTTCTTGGCTCTGGCCCTGACCCCCTGGAGGAAGACCAGATAGATAATATCTTTCTAGCCCGGTCCTTCCATCTTCTGAGTTCAGGTTCCAATCGGGTTCCTCATCTGAGAAGGCCTCCCTGGCCCATCTGTCTGTATCTAATATTCCTGCTGGGGACTGGGTCTGGAGCCACTTCCGAGCCTCTGTTACTACTCTCATGCGCTCCTCAGTGTTAAAGAACGTGAAAAGGAGCTGCTTGCAGTCCACCCAGGTGGGCTTCTAGGAGAAGATTGTTTCTAGGAGGTCTATCATGGCCTGAGGCTTTTCAGAATAAGCTGGGGTGTGATGTTTCCAACATGTCACTGGTGGTAAAGGGCTGATAATAATAGACTGGCCCTCCCTCATGCAAGGTCCCATCTCTACCAACTACTTTGGCACCCGAATCTCTTTTAGAGGCATCTTACGTGCTGGTTGTGACCTGGGCCCTTGATCGGCTTAACACAAGCGCTGCCCAACTGGCTCTGGAGACCCTGGTTGAGGAGAAACGGAAGGGGGCAGTGTTTCTGGACCTTTCAGACCAGCTGGGGAAGCACTTGGTGCTGCCTGTGGCACATATGGAGATGGCAAAACTTGCGGGACTTCCTCAGGGGATCCTGGCAGAACAAGGGGTTGGGTTCCCTTCTGAGAGACCTGTTTCTTTTCTTCTAATACTAAAAAAAATACTTACAGAACCGGACCCAAAGCTACAAGCCTGGAAGGTCTCCTTAAAGAAAAGATCCTTAATCAGCACAGGCAGGACCAGGGCAAGTAAAATCTCTCACCCTGTGGAGCTGGGAGCCCTGCCCCTGAAAGTTTCAGTCAGCCAAAAGAGACAAGAAAAGCTGCAAATACCTTTAAATCTACCCCAGAATTCTAAAATTTCAACCCAACAAAACAAAATCACAGAGCAAATCAAAGCCCCTAGTACACAAACATAGACAAAATTTTTATCATCTATCTCTCCATGATAGAGAGCAAACATCTCTGAGAAAACTAACTCAACAGTGCTGCTTGAGACTTTTGCAGATTGTCACAAGTTCAGCCTTTAGTAAATCAAACGTTTTAACCAGATGAACAAACAAAATCAAAGTAGCTTTCCCTTTCACACAGACCAGTTAATCTGCTGCAGACAGACAAACATCTGTACTCACACTCTCTCAGTAAACTAGTCCAGCCTGGAGCTGTGCAGATAATGCCCAACTCCCCAGATGGGCATGGGGGCACTCCCGGCACCTACGCCCCAGAACAGAATTCTCAACCAATGTCTCAGTGAGAACCTGCCAGATGAGTTAAGACTGCATCCAGCCTTCCTTCTCGGTAACAAATGGGCTAGTCCCACACAAAAACAAACAAGATTGAACCCATAATTCCTTAATTGAATCTGAATTCACTCACCTCCATAGTTCTGATTCCTGATTTACCTGATGAAGTCCTATGACTTCTGGGGAAATAATCAAGCTCCCCCTTCCTCTCACTTGGAGTACGCCAGACTGACTGGGGCCCCAACCTTACCGATTCTGTAGACAAGTCCAGAGGTGTCCGTACACTTTCTCCAGATGCCAGCCGGGTCCTGGGCTGAGGTCTGGGAGCGCCTGGAGGTTCTGTTTCCCCCCCCCCCCCCCCCCCCCCAGTTCAATAGGTACCTGGTCAGGAAACAAATGTTGCAGGACACCAAAGAAATAACACGCATGCTTCCTAGAGAAAGGGAGGGATCCCGTTTATTAACACTAGTGGACTCGGAATAATTTCCAAATCAGAGTGAAGAAACACGCAGAGGGCTTCACTTTTTATAACCTTCTGGGTTTTTTGTCTTGCAGATATGTTTCTGCCCCCCTTCCTCGGCTTATAGGAAGGCCCCCAGGTGTTGGAGGTCCCCAGGCCATATCCAGTGATCTGTTCTGGGGCCAGCGGTAACAACCCCCCTCCCCCAGGACAGTGCATTGTTCACAGTTTTTATGGCCTGACATGCCTTGCAAGACCAGTTTCTTCCTCAGTACTTACATTAGAAAAAAATATAAAAAATCAATTATCTGAGGCCCTACCTTAAGAATTTGAGGGAAACAAGAACAGAATAATCTCAAAGTACATAGAATAAGGGAACAAAAATAGAGTCTAGTGGTGTGGTAGTGATAGTGATGCAAAAAAGTTGAACATAATGTACAACCCTATGACCTGGCAGTTTCACTGTTAGATATATAGTTAAGAGTGTGAGACTATACATTCACAAAAGACTTGCACAATAATGTTCCTAGCAGCATTGCTTCTAATACCCCAAACTGGACACTACTCAAATGCACATACATAATAGAATAAATAAATAATTGTTGCTATATTCACACAATAAAATTCTACTTAGCAAAACATTTATACTAATGGTAGTTTTTCAGCCATAAGAAACAAATATAGCTGAATTTTGTAAACATATTTATGAGTGAAGAAAGCCGGACACAAAAGAGTATATACTGTATGATTCCATTTGTATAGAGTTTAAACAGATGAAGATTCTATTTGCTGATTAAAAGCCTGTATGGTGTTCATCCTTAGTGGGGGCTTATGAATGGAATGGGACCTTAAGAGGACTTCTAAGGAATGAGTACTGTTTTCTATCTTGATCTGGGTACTGATTACATAGATATGTTCAGATATAAAATTTTATTGAGCTATATACTATGTTTTTTCTACATGTGTTAGGTCTAGTAATAATTAATGTCGTTTTCTAATACTTTTTTAAAATCGAATTTATTTAAACAATACAACAAAATTTAATCAACAATATAGTTGCTGTTGTTTTCTACTACTTGTGCCCAACGCTCAGGAAGCATTTTAATCCCTCTGTTGTAAAATTCTTGTGATTTTGATGCAAAAAATTCGGTCAATGCATTTTTGAGGCATTCTTCATTATCAACTTTTTTTCCAAGAAGAAAGTTTTGCAAAGAACGAAACAAATGGTCATCGGAAGGGGCAATATCAGGAGAATATGCAGGTTGAGGGAGAACTTCCCATTCCAACTGGCGCAGTTTTTCAGCAGTGATTCTTGCAGTATGCGGTCGTGCGTTATCGTGGTGAAGAATTACGCCCTTCCGATTAATCAGCGCGGGTTCTTTTTCTCTTAAAGCTTGGGCTAACCTTTCCAATTGGGCACTATACACTGCACTTGTAATGGTTTGGTTAGATGGTAAAAGTTCATAATGAAGAATTCCTTTAAAATTCCACCAAACACACAACATCACTTTTTTCGCATGCAAGTCAGGTTTTGGCGTGGGCTGCGGAGCCTCATTTTTGTCCAACCATTGAGGCCGCCTTTTCAAATTAACATACAGCACCCATTTTTCATCTCCGGTAACAATTTGCTCTAAAAATGGCAAACGGTTTTGACGAGAGAGGAGCGAACTGCAAATTGTGACTATGATTACGGTTGTTGTCGGTCAACTCATGAGGAACCCATTTTCCAAACTTTTGGACTTTGCCAAGTGCGCAATTGATTGGAAATTGTTTTTTGTGAACAATTTAAAGTTGTCGCAAGCTCTTGTTGGGTAATTTGAGGATTTTGCATCAAAAGAGCTTGAAGAGCTTCTTGATCAAAATTGGACACACGGCCTCGACCACTCTTGTCATCTAACGAAAAATTTCCCTTGAGAAATTTCTCAAACCAACGCTGGCATTTTCTGGCGCTAACTGCATCTTGACCAAGAGCACTACAGATGTTTTTTGCAGCCTCACTTGCTTTTCTTTCTAATTGGAACTCGTAAAGCATGCAGTGCCGAATATGCTCTTCATCCGCCATCTTCTTAGCCCTAGTTTTGCAACAAAAACCAAACCAAACACTAACTTTTTCAAGCAAAACTTGTTAATTGCACTTCACACGTTCTGTAGATACCACGTGTTTGAAGGTTATGTCAATACAAGTCAAAGCCAAGCAAGATTTTAAACGAATGTTAAAAAACGACATTAAGTATTACTAGACCTGATATGTTACCTATATATATAAAAGCCTAAGTGACCAGAATGACCAGAACGACCGGTTGCTATGACATGCACTGACCACCAGGAGGCAGGCACTCAACGCAGGATCTGTCCCCTGCTGGTCAGTGTGCTCCCACAGCCATCCTCCCCCAGCTGGCCAACCCCCTGTGTCCCTTTCCCCAGCCGGGAGGCCCTAATTGCCTGATTGGGGCTAGCCCCTGGGCTGGGATGGGTGGCAGTAGATGAGGTTCTTTTCCCATGGTGGCTGAGAGCTGGCTTTCTCCTTGGGACTGGCAACCAACCTCCAGTACCCTGTTCCTCCCCCCACCTGCACGTTCCAATCAGCCTGCCATCCACCCACCACAGTGACAGTGTGGTGGCAAGAGAAAGAGGAGTGGGGGAGGTGGAGAACTGTGTGATGGCAGAGCACTGACGGTGGTGTAGGCATCTGGCATCTGTTCCTTCCACGCCCAGCCCAGCAACTGTCACTTCCTCTCCCAACCCAGCCGCCCTGGGCTGGGATGGGGAGCCAGGGGTGGGTGGGGGCAGATGCGGTTCTTTTCCCAGGGGGGCCAAGGGCTGGTTTCCTCCTCTAGGCCAGTGGCCAACTTCCTTTGCCCTGTCCACCCCCCCCCTCTCCAGCTGACAGACCCTGCTGCCTTCCCACTGTGGTGGCAGTGTGGCAGTGAGGGAAGGAGGTAGGGAACCGCATGGTGATGGAGCGCTGACTATAGTGGCATCCATATCCAGCATCTGTTCCTTCTGCATCCGGCCCAGCAGCTGTCGCCTCCTCTCCAGCCTGACCCTGATCGGCCTGGCTCCTATCGTCTCTGATCACCAGCCAGACCTAGGGGCCCCACCCATGCATGAATTTCATGCACCGGGCCTCTAGTACTTTAATAAAAATACAAAAGACAACTGACAGATAATATTCACAACAGAACTAGGTGACAATTTATTCCCATGACTCTCACACTAAGCAGGTAAGGGAAATCACCCTCAGTACAAGATCAATAGGTGATTGGCATCTGTGTGGAAGGAAGCAGAAGAATTGACAGACAGACCATATGAACAACTGGACAAACACAAGAATTCCAAACAGCAAACAGGTATTCACTAAAAAGCATGGCAGTCCATTTAAGAACAACACTTGAAATAGGAGCAGTTTTTGCCACCAATAAAAACTGGTTGAGTCCAGCGTGCTCACACTGACGTGTTATCCTGTGCACTGAAAGGGTTTGGGTTTGAATCCCAGTCAGGGCTTGTGTGATGTTTCACTCTCACATTGATTTTTTCTCTCCCTCTCCCTTTTTCTCTAAAGTCAATGTTAAAAAGCATATCCTCAGGTGAAGATTAAAAAAACACCTGGGTAAATATAAAGGGCTTTCGTTAGAAGGTCTGATAGGGGTGGAGTAGTCTAGTCCTTAGTGAACTTTTGAAAATGACCCACCAGATCTCCCTTCCAGGACAGGGTTCTCCTCTGAGGAGAAATTGCTGAGAATAGAATTGAAACAATAACGAAAAGAAGGAAAGAGAAAGTCGAGATAAAAGTGTAAGAAAGGACCAGAATCAAGAACTAATTAAACAAGGCCTATTTCTTTAACAACAGAAAGACAACTTCTGTGAAGTTAGAAAAGCCACCCTGAACCTACTTCTTTCTAAAAGTAAAGGACGACTTAACCACACATCAGAATTAATAATAGGCTGCAGTGATTGTTGCACAGCTCTGAATATACAAAACAAACAAACAAACAAAAAACCTTGCTGATCTGTACACTTTAAATCGGTGAATTTTATTTTATAGTATGTGAAATGTATACAATAAAGCTGTTAGAAAGTGAACAAGATTATCAAGGCCAAAGTTCACACAAAATTACTATAAGGGGAAAAAGAATCAAGAGCATTTCAAAAAACAGCAAATCTAAAATATACTTTTTAAAAATAAGTTGAAAGACATTAAGAAAATTATATAAGACATGGAAGAA